AAGCGGCTTAAAGTTTATAAGGAATTCTTTACATTATAACAAGAGTTTATTAAAAATTATTTGCTGTTCGTGTCAACGTTCACACTATGCACATGTTTACAAAAAAAAAAAAAAAAAAACTTTTTACCCCCCAATGGAACTCAGTTTTTTTTTAAAGAAAATCATTAGCATTATCATGTTTACAATCACCCCATCATTAGATGTTAATCCACGTTTTGTATTATCATGTTTACAATCACCCCATCATTAGATGTTAATCCACGTTTTGTATTATCATGTTTACAATCACCCCATCATTAGATGTTAATCCACGTTTTGTATTATTATTATCGTTACTACAATTATGCTGTTATTATCAGCATAATTATAAATAATTTCGTTATTACTTTCACCACCAAAATAATAAAGTATATCATACATGGCAGTAATATGTTTATCAGAAAACATTATCATCATATGCGCCAATATTATCATCATGTGCATCATTCTAATTGTAAGTATCCTATTCATTATCGTTATCTTCTTCATCATGTTCATAAAAATTATTAATTCGAAAAAATAAAATTCTCAATTCAGAAAAAAAAAAAAAAAAAAAAAAAAAAAAAACCCTGCAATGGAGCAGGTCAACCAGTTCAAATACCTTGGAGTTTGCAATAAATCACCAATGGAGGCATCATGGTAGCGTTGTCTGCTCGAAAAATAGCAGCTGGGAGCTTTTCCCAGTCACAAAACGACGGCTTTTCAAGAAAGAAAACAAAATGCGGGAGGACGAAAATCATTGCATACCGCTCTTTTACCTATTGCCAGTCTTGACCTACGGGTATGAGTCATGGGCAATGATAACAGCTCACAGAAGCAAGCTTCAGTCCTCACAAATAAGGTATCTGTGAATGGTGGCCTAAGGGACAACGTTCGCAACCAGACAATACATCATGATCTTGAAAACCAGACCTTACAAACTCAAGGAGATCCGTCAGTTCCGATGGTCTAGTCATTTATGTAGAATGGATGAGAGTCGGCCACCGCGGCAGGCATAGAAGGCCAAGCACTAGGAAACCAGACCACCATGACGACCCAGGGTTCGCTGAGATGACCACAACGGGCAAGCCTTGACTGACAGATAACTGGGATGGAACAAAGCCATAAAGAAAACTACTGACAGAAAAGTCTGGAGGTTTGTCTGGCAAATCTCTTTACCTAAAGTAGAAGAGGATCCATTTAGTTTTTAAAAAAAAGAGACACAAACAATCCATTGCACAGTTTACTGACTGTACCATTTCGCAGTAACCGTAATTTTGAAAACGGAATGGCATTCTTGCATTGGCGCTGCGAATATGATCCTTTACTCGTTCGTAAGACCTGTCACGGGCATTGTTTTTGAATACAAAAAAGACTGTGGGTAATCACTTCAGTCAGTCAACATCTCGACTCATTTGAGATTAAGACTGTTAGCTTTATTAGCAGATTTTATCATCACCAGTCAGCACGTCCTTTGCAGAACGTCACTCTCTTCTCGAAACGCCAGAAAGTCTCTCTTTCTCCAGCCAATTCTCAAGCACTTTATGCTTTCAAAGCAAATGCACCACCAGTGTCTGGTATCAAACTTCATGGACGTCGGCACTGTATGATTTTCCAGAAGGGTACCCACCATCACCGTTCCCTTCAGACCCATCCATATTTTCAGAAAACAGGACATTTATAGTTCTATACTATAAATGTGTTTTAGCTATTACTATAGTAAATGAAAAAAAAAAAAAAAAAAAAGAAGACCATTGTCTCCCCATGAATACATGTAGAGCAAAGAACAAGAGAGAACATTAATCACCAGTGACATGAGAGATTTAAGGAAGGCTGCAAGAAAAATCAGAAAGAAAAAAATCGCTCGAGAGATGAATCAACATTACATCGACAAGTACTGACTTACTTAATAAACAGTGAACAGAAGCAGAAGATAGTAGTCGTGTACCTTTTCTGAACCATACTATACAGCTCGGTACAGGGAAAGAGGAGATAAGGCAACTAAGAAAGATATGATCCAAAAATGGCCGGCCACAAACGGGAAACAACCGGTATAACCTGTCTGATCGCCAGACATGGTTAAAAGAAAACACACACACACACACACACACACACGCACACGCACGCACACACACACACACACGCACACACGCACACACACACACATACTGCATGACCCACATCCAAAGAGTATTACCAGACTTCATATTGATAACTCTGTAACTTGTTGATCCCTTGCCAGCTGACGGATTTCCCTTGGTAGTGCTTGGTTATCCAAGCACCGTTATCGGTGCATTAATTATATCTTTTCGTGAGGTTCAACTGGGTTTCTCGGGTTAATCATGTCAGGATTTACGTCAATTATCGACTCCTCGAGAGGCATGGATGAGCAAACCTTCTGGAAGCTGCCCATTGGGGAGAAAACAGTAATTCGGTCCCTAAATCGTAATTATTGGAGAAAAACAAATCCAGTAAATGAAACATGTTAGGCAGGTGACTTATAACTTAACAGAAAGTCAAAACAAAGATCTTAGTTTTAACATTGGAAAGTAAAGTAATGGTAATTAATTACAAAGAAAACAGACCATCAAAGATGCAGCATCAAAGTTTTTAGGACAACCCACAAGTAAGCTGATACGTGTAAGTACGTGAGTACAATGATAACATAAGATGGAAGACATGTTAAAGAAGTAAATCAGCCCCCCCCCCCCCCCCAAACAAAAAAATGCAGGATTTTACAAAACAAAGAATATTCTATGTGGTTTTGTTATTGTTGTTGTCGTCTTTTGGGATGAAACAGAAAAGTTTCATGAGAATATACATAGTATCCTGATATACTGAAGTGAACCGTGGACATCTGTGCAACCAGTGCAAAAAATATTTGGAAGCGGCAGAGATGGGTTTTTATAGATGAATCATTAAACAACAAATTAAGAAAATACTCTGGAAAGAGGAAGTCGACGTGACATTGGCAGTTAGACGCCCGCCTGCAGACCAGAAGATCGTGTGTTCGCGTCCTGGTGAAAACGGACCTTTTTTCCCCCCATCAAAAAATGACCTTGACTCCCGGGTCGACCTAGCCTTGAGTGGGTACCAGCTGCATTCCTGGGAAGTAAAGGTGGCTAGTGTGATGCTGACTACATCACCCACCAAGTGTCGATTGGTCAATACAAATATAGGTCTAGCCTCATATTCCCAATACGCCTGAAGGCATGGGAATAATTTTTACTTTTAATTTTTAACCTTTACTTACTTTACTTACTCTGGAAAGAGCAATTGAGATGTTTTGAAAGAAGCTGTCTCACAAAAAATTACTGATTGCCCACATCGGAAGGAGAACATCTACATTATTTTGTCATGTTACGAGAAGGGGAAAGCTTGTGTACATCGTGACGGTGAGAATGTTGGAGGAAAACAGAGGCAGGTGGAGACCGAGGGAGATGATGCTGGACAGTTTTATATCATGGCATGGGAAATGATTTGTATTGTGTTGTGCTGTGGCCAGCATTGTTTGTAGTCCTCAGGTGGTGATGTGGCCAGCATTGTTTGTAGTCCTCAGGTGGTGATGTGGCAAACATTGTTTGTAGTCCTCAGGTGGTGATGTGGCCAGCATTGTTTGTAGTCCTCAGGTGGTGATGTGGCCAGCATTGTTTGTAGTCCTCAGGTGGTGATGTGGCAAACATTGTTTGTAGTCCTCAGGTGGTGCTGTGGCCAGCATTGTTTGTAGTCCTCGGGTGGTGCTGTGGCCAACGTTGTTTGTAGTCATCGGGTGGTGATGTGGCCAACGTTGTTTGTAGTCATCGGGTGGTGATGTGGCCAACGTTGTTTGTAGTCATCGGGTGGTGATGTGGCCAACGTTGTTTGTAGTCATCGGGTGGTGATGTGGCCAACGTTGTTTGTAGTCCTCGGGTGGTGATGTGGCAAACATTGTTTGAAAAGGGACTTTCTCTGCCTCTCTTGTATTTGTTTTAATCTAACCTACGCATCCTCTTTTCCATTTACTCTTATTTCAACAGTCCTACCGCTCTTAAACGCCTTTAATTAATTTACTGACTCATCCAGTTTACGAGTGGAATTACTATAACATAAAAAGCATTAATTAGTTAATAACCAGCTTTAACTGGCTGTAAAATAATCATCAGTACTTAGACAGGCAGTCAAGATTTACAACATGTCTTCATGTATTTTTATTGTTTAAGATAGACAAAAAACTATGCGTTCATGCAATACCACAAGAAACAGTAGTGATGAGACAAAAACTATGCGTTCATGCAATACCACAAGAAAGAGTAGTGATGAGAAGAAAACTATGCGTTCATGCAATACCACAAGAAAGAGTAGTGATGAGAAGAAAACTATGCGTTCATGCAATACCACAAGAAAGAGTAGTGATGAGAAGAAAACTATGCGTTCATGCAATACCACAAGAAAGAGTAGTGATGAGAAGAAAACTATGCATTCATGCAATACCACAAGAAAGAGTAGTGATGAGAAGAAAACCATGCGTTCATGCAATACCACAAGAAAGAGTAGTGATGAGAAGAAAACCATGCGTTCATGCAATACCACAAGAAAGAGTAGTGATGAGAAGAAAACCATGCGTTCATGCAATACCACAAGAAAGAGTAGTGATGAGAAGAAAACTATGCGTTCATGCAATACCACAAGAGAGAGTAGTGATGAGAAGAAAACTATGCGTTCATGCAATACCACAAGAAAGAGTAGTGATGAGAAGAAAACTATGCGTTCATGCAATACCACAAGAAAGAGTAGTGATGAGACAAAAAACTATGCGTTCATGCAATACCACAAGAAAGAGTAGTGATGAGAAGAAAACCATGCGTTCATGCAATACCACAAGAAAGAGTAGTGATGAGAAGAAAACCATGCGTTCATGCAATACCACAAAGAAAGAGTAGTGATGAGAAGAAAACCCATGCGTTCATGCAATACCACAAGAAAGAGTAGTGATGAGAAGAAAACTATGCGTTCATGCAATACCACAAGAAAGAGGTAGTGATGAGACAAAAAACTATGCGTTCATGCAATACCACAAGAAAGAGTAGTGATGAGAAGAAAACCATGCGTTCATGCAATACCACAAGAAAGAGTAGTGATGAGAAGAAAACCATGCGTTCATGCAATACCACAAGAAAGAGTAGTGATGAGAAGAAAACCATGCGTTCATGCAATACCACAAGAAAGAGTAGTGATGAGAAGAAAACTATGCGTTCATGCAATACCACAAGAAAGAGTAGTGATGAGAAGAAAACTATGCGTTCATGCAATACCACAAGAAAGAGTAGTGATGAGAGTTTGAAAACCATGCGTTCATGCAATACCACAAGAAAGAGTAGTGATGAGAAGAAAACCATGCGTTCATGCAATACCACAAGAAAGAGTAGTGATGAGAAGAAAACTATGCGTTCATGCAATACCACAAGAAAGAGTAGTGATGAGAAGAAAACCATGCGTTCATGCAATACCACAAGAAAGAGTAGTGATGAGAAGAAAACCATGCGTTCATGCAATACCACAAGAAAGAGTAGTGATGAGAAGAAAACCATGCGTTCATGCAATACCACAAGAAAGAGTAGTGATGAGAAGAAAACCATGCGTTCATGCAATACCACAAGAAAGAGTAGTGATGAGAAGAAAACCATGCGTTCATGCAATACCACAAGAAAGAGTAGTGATGAGAAGAAAGGAATGTTAAAATAATTACAGAGCTTAGTGATCAATCTTTTGGGAAAATTAATCAAATTAAATTAAAACTAATCAAATTTTAAGTCATGTGATCAATCTTTTGGGAAAATTAATCAAATTAAATTAAAACTAATCAAATTTTAAGTCATGTGATCAATCTTTTGGGAAAATTAATCAAATTAAATTAAAACTAATCAAATTTTAAGTCATAATCTTCTCCATACTCCTCCTCGCATAATCTTCTGTCTTCTTTTCTGTTTACCTTAAAAACATATTTCACATAAATAGTCATCTTTTTTGGTGTGAATATGTTATGAAAAGAAGCTAACTCTAGAATTTGGAAATGCATGGCAGGACTGATAGAAAAAGAGGAAGGAAAAGGGATGCATATCAATACCAAGACAGCTTAGCCATGTGGCTGGGGGTGAGACAAGAACACTGACCTGATCCGAGGATTCAACTGATCGTGTGAAATTCTGAAACATTATAACGTATCAGCACACGATGATGATGATGAAGATTACCTCCAAATGGTGTATAGACCTTGAGCCAACACACGTTATGTCCTTGTATCCCGTTCTGTCTTTTTATATATATATATTTATTTATATATCAATGTCAATATGCAGTTATAACAAATACAGGAATGTCAGAAAAGTTCTACATTAGATCTGGAATGAGACAGGGGTGCGTTCTATTTCTATCATAGGTACTGTTCATCACATACGTCGACCAAACGTGCAAATCAGCTAACACAAGTGAAAGCGAAAAAATCAGAGAATTACTAAATGGATTTCTAATCGTCGAAGATCAGGAGATTATAGCATCAACACCTGTACAACAAGAAAATATTGACAATGACTATGAACACTAAATGAACACTGTTCAACACAATATTCGCACTAACGCTATGCTATCAATGTCAAACAGGACATTGTTTTCGGAAGACACAGTAGAAATAGTAACGACATAAATGAAATGTTTACGTACTATGCCAGGTGTAATGAGGAAAGATCGACTTAGGAACGATCTATCCTGATGAAAGTCGGCACCCAACCAATACCGGACTTTATAGAAAGACAACAAATCAAATGTTATGTTATGCACAATCGACGTCAGTGCACATTTGGCATTTCCATGCGTGCCCAGTCCTCCGATGCAGCAGCCACTACAAAGTACTTCTACTAATTGTTCCCATGAGAAGCTGGTTATACTGTCTGCTATTTTGAGCTCAAAGACGGCACAGAGGGGCTTCGCCATGCTTTACTTCCATGTCACGCAATCGTGTTATTGTCAGGGATTCCTCATTACCGCTAGCGCAGTCCGTCCAGCGTTGACGATATCTGCTCTATCCATGCCTTCTCCCGCAATCCTTAGTGCAATGCTTGCCAGTTGGTCCGCTCGCTCATTTCCCTCTACGCCCACTTGACCCGGTGTGTAGATCCAGGTCATGGAGGTTAAGTGCGATTTTCGAATACTTTCTACCCATTCAGAGCGCATACCACCTGTTGCTATCTTCTGAAGCATATTATGAGTCTGATACAGCAACTACCTGTGTGGCGGTTTGCTCAGATACCCATGCTAAAGCTTAAGAAGCAGCGGCTATTTCCATGGTCAGGCTTGACTTGGTTGTCTGGTAAGCTCCGCTGTCCTCCTGTATTGTTTTCCCGCTTCTTTGCGTTGTGTATGCCCATGCTGACGTTGACCCGCGCTATACAGATCCATCTGTGTAGATGATATCTTCTGTGTCTGAATGCTGATCTATCAAATGGTTTGGCCATGTAACAAAAGTGTCATCAGACAAGGCACCACAGAGAGCGATGTTTACAGATTGAAAGATAACAGAGCCAGAGGTTGACCCCGCAGAATATAGACAGCAGAAATATCAGAGACCTACCTATCCTTTTCTACCTTCTTTTACCCCCACTATGACATCACAAAAGCGATAAACACCCGATGACACAAACTGCCACCATATAGAAGAGGATCACCCGTGGAGAGGTCCCAGAAACCGCGTTCAGCCATTAGACCATATTTATTGCCGGGCTATACTGCGGCCCCTGGCAAGAGCCAGAGTAGGGCTTCAAAATAACGAAAAGCTGCATCCCACAAAGGGATGACAAGATTTTATATATATATATATATATATATATATAAACAAGAGACACTGAAAATTACTTTATTTACGAAGCGAACAAGAGGGCCCGATTCATTAATCTCTTCCTGCCCTGACGCCGCGCGAGGCACTCCAGAGTAGAGACAAGAAGACAGAAGACGAATATGTATTTATGTATGTTTGTATGTATATATATATATATATATATATATATATATATATATATATATATATATATATATATATATATATATATATATATACATAGAGAGAGAATAGGAAAATCATACACACACACACCCCCAGAGAGAGAGAGAGAAGAAAGAAATAGATATATAGATGGAGAGAGAGAAAGAGAGAGAGAGAGAGAGAGAGAGAGAGAGAGAGAGAGAGAGAGAGAGAGATGTGGATTGTTTATGTGTGCAAATATGCCTGTGGCTGTGTTAACATAGATTATTACCTGCCCATATCCAGGTTATTCTTTAGAGCAATTGTGTTTTTGAGATCATCATTATCATCACCAGCATCCTCGTCATCATCATCATCATCATCATCATCCTCATCATAATCATCATCGAGTGCCATGCTAACTGGTGTAGGTGATCATACCTCTCCACAGTCTGCGATCTTCAAAATCATGTATCAGTTGGTCAGCTGAAACCCCTTCTTAGCATGAAAAAAACTGTGCAGAACTCCTCGCGTTGTCTTTTAATGTCTCTCCTTGTCATGTGTCATATTTATTTTACTCAGATAGGTTGCGGGTGTGGGTTTAAATCCTTCCACCTAATGCGAGTGAAACCCCGAGAGAGCTGTTTCTTAACGCGTTGCATGCAGAGTCACTGGATACTCAGGTAGTGGCTCATAGAAAGTGAGCCTCGTGAATATTCCCAGAAATGGAAAAGGGTCATTGAGATGACAAGAGAACACTGATTAAATGAATAGCTAAACAGAGCAGATTACATATCCCGACAATTTCCCTTTCTGGTCATTACATTAGGCCGCCCACCTAGGTATATTGATGGACAGCATTCAACTGCCACCATACACAAATATAGAAATAAAATTAAACTTTAATTATGAATGTAAATGAATCATTCATTCATTCATTCAGTAGCATGTCCCTCGCGGAACCTCGCTGCCATAACAACCCTCCGGAAAACCTTCCTATCATGAGCAAGATGTCCTGCGTCTGATACACCCATCTGGAGATCATCTGCCACATCCTGCACCCATCTTCTCCTTGGCCTTCCTCTTCCTCTCTTCCCAGGCATATACCCCTCCATTATTGTTCTCTCTAGACCTCCATGACGTTTCAAGTGACCAAAATATTTCAATTTTCTTTGTTTTATTGTCTTTACTAGCCAACCCTCTTCAATATTCAGCTCTTGAAGTATGGATGCATTTGTTCTTTTCTTTACCCAAGATATTCTTAGAACCTGTCTGTAACATTTATATTCAAATGCATTTATGCGCTGTTCCGCTTGTTTAGTAAGTGTCCAGGTCTCACAGGCGTATGTTGCAATGGGAAAGATGCATGCTCTTAAAAATCTGACCTTTGTAATTCTATCTGTACAATTCCATAATTTATTCAGTTGTTTTAGTCTTTGAAGAGCAATTGATAGTCGCCGTTTAATTTCTTTCATTGTGTCACCATTGTTGGTAACCAGTGACCCAAGATATTCGAAATTTTCCACCACTTCCAATCTTTCCTCATTAACATATATTTCCTTCTCCATGGCAGTTTTGTTTGTATGCATTATATTTGTTTTTGCTAAATGAATCATAGATATGTTTATTAAAATAATTTTTGAAATGAAATACTCAAGCTAAACATATAATAAAATGAAATAAAATGATTGTCACATGAAAATGTCGTCAGAGAGTTAATGAGAATTTTACTTGGACACACAACAATTACCACGTAAGGTTTTCCACAGGATCTTCATCTGAGTTTGTTGAGAACAGTTGAAACCGCACCAGTCACCAAAGACCTTCTTCAGGGCACCCCAGTCAACACATGCGACCAGCCTGCCAGTGTTCTGGAAGTTCGTCCTGCCACAGGGAACAAGGAAAAAAGAGAAGGAATGCCAATTTTGTTTCATCACTGTACATTCCATATAGTGTTTCCGCTGTGTAGCACTTTTCACTTTGTTCACTATATTTTCACTTTATTTCAAAGTGTGTCTTTAACTCCAACCATTGGTTCACAGTTCTTTCAACAGCTGGTTGTATTGATAACCATCTGGTTTTGCAATCTGACAGAATTTTCAGTGGTGTGGAACCATTATTTAAGGCTGAACACAATGCATTGTATTGTTGCTGTCTGAAAAATGATTTGGAAAACCAGTTATGTGTTTCAGCAATAAGGTATTCCAAAATCCTTGGTAAACATACAGATGAAGCATGTGATAATGCTAGCTGCAATGAATGACACATACATTTTAAAAGTATTAACAATGGGATAGCTTTCTTCAACTTGGCATAAACGCCATTGTTTATGCCAACCATCACCGAGGCATTATCGGTACCAATTGCAGCCAAATTTTTCAAGTCTAGCTGTTCGCTGATTAAAAGTTTCTTCAGTTCCTGAACTATACTTTCTGCATCACACTTTTCCAATTGAACTAGCCCAAGTTTTGTAGAAACTACTTTGTCTGTATTATTGCTGTAATATATAATACACACACCAAGCACTTTCAGTACCGAAATATCATTTGATTCGTCTAATAATAAACTATATTTATTTGTAGAAATATCACTGATCAAATCTTTTTCGAAGTGAGAAAATAAAGTATTTCTTATAATATATGTACACTTGCTGCGATGCATTTTCACATCATT